TATATTAATTGCGTTTTAACTGTCTAATTATTAGAACTTCATAATATTAAAAGTTATTAAACTATTATTTCATTTGCAGTACAACAACATTGTGATGTAATTTTGAGAATTCAGATCATAAAAGTATAAGAAAATTTGCTCAACCTGTTAGCTCAATTCATTTGTTCGTTACCTTGTTTAATTAAGTGGATATTATCACCACGTTATTAATCACGGAATATCTCTCGTTACAATCTTTCCTGGATTATCTGGCAATCTTAAATACAGTGTTAATGTTTAATAGTAATAGTGCAGTATTATCATTATCATTTTAATCTCTAACGCGAATATTAATGTAACTCAGTTTTAATATATTGCCTTCGGAGTTTAGTAATCGGTAGAAGTTTGTTCGTTTTCAGCTTAATCATAACATTGTTTAAATTCTTAAAAGTATGATGGTGACGTGATGGTATGTGTATATGTAAGAAGTATATACTCCTGAAAATGTATTGAAATTTAAGTCCGCGATCATCATTGTGCATTTCATTAAAATAATTAAAACACTTTCTCGTCACATTTTACTAATTACCTAAAGATATGTTAGTCCAAAACTGTCCTTGACATTGAAATCGTAAAAATTTAATTATATAATACAAATCTTCGAAAAGTTTTGCATATTCAATAGAAAGATGGAAAAAGTTTGAGTAAAGAATGAAAAGAGTTTAAGAGCACGTATGCACGTGCAATTATGGATTACGCATGCGTTTTAAGGAACGAAGAAACTTCGGGCATTCGAATATGCCATATGCAAAAAAAATAGAATTTTAAGAATTCACTTTAACTAAGTGAAGTTTGAAATTGGAACGGAGGAATCGCCGAATTCATTTGAGTTAAACGCAAATGACAGTTTGATCTGACTTTATGTTATGAAACTTCCATCAGATCTTTGCTCGCAATATTGACTTTTCTCAAATTTCGATCGTGCGATTTAGAAGTTGAATTTTTGTGCAAAGGAGAATATAATTCACAATACTGAAACGCTGCTTTCAAACATTAGGATAATACTCAACTTGAAGAAATAAAGATGGAAAATTTGATGTAATGTCAATTCTATATTGATTTTATACATATAGTGTCAGAATATTACACTGCAAAATTTAATTTATAGTTCTTGTTGAAAGATTCGACCTTTATTCGAGAATATTTTCTCATCGTAGTATGAAGAAACATATTTTATAACTGAGAAACATATGCGCCGAATTATTTTCTCGTTTCTTTTCTTATTACATATTACATTTTTATCCTTTATGCATATATATCTCTGTGCGCATATTCTCTGTTTGTATATCTTTTCTTTTATTACCAATATATTATATACAAATTAATAGATCGGCAAATTTATATTTCGCAATTGTATATATATTATACCGAGAACATTTTCATGAACATAACGTTATACTTTACAATAATGCTAAATTTCAGCTGTTGTTTAAAGTAAAATCAACGGCTTTACCGCGTCTCGTACATTTTGCTTTGAAATCAAAAAGAAAACTGAAGAAAATGTAATTAACTACTTCTTTTGTAAAAGTATAACTAAGTGTTTGTTTAAATACGTCACGATTGTCCGGTACGTAACAAATGTCACGAATGTAACAAATGTCATCCATGTAAAGTATCTTCTGATTTAAAAAATGACCGATTCTCTTTGTGTACACAAATCGAGTTGCAGTTTGATAACGGAAGTCGTAATATATTTCATTCTTCAATAGGGGAACATTTTGACAAAGCGTGGGAAATAAAGTTGGCTCCTCGTTACAAATATCACTCACGTGTAAAATTTTTGAACGATCCGAGAAGTTGACCATTATGCGATTCATAAACTACATAAATTATATATGCTAAATTTAATCCTTCTGAACTTTGTTGAAGCGATTTAGGAACCGCTGTTTTCGGTGAGCGCACCAGAATGCACGTCCGGTATCCGAGAATGATTTGTGCAAAATTCTCACGATATTCAACACGCAAATCCACA